GTTATCAACAGTGGTTTCACAGACAACGTACTTCATTTTCTAGGACGGCGACGAATTCGAAATCTGAAACAGACACTCTCTGCTTCCAAACCGCCAAAGTGTAAGCTCAGCGACTCCTTGAAGCAACGAATAGCTTTGGCCTTCTAAACAAACAATTTTAGAGAAGCACTTAACGTAAAAAATAAAATGATAAATTAAATTACTTTTACAGGCATACATGGTCATTCACTCGGTCTGAAACTAAACTTGTTTCTCCGCCATGGACAACAAATAACGGTCAATGCATTGGACTAAAGTCATTCTGTTTGCGCTACTACATGCGACTACTAAATCCTGCTCTGTATATTTTACCCATGTACATATATGCCGCTCTGAATCCGTTTACTATTTACTTTCATGTTCTATGTCAAGCAAACTGCTGAAAACTTAGACACCGTTATTAGCATAAGTTAGTAATAATAACGGGAAACTAGTGCGTGGACAGCAGTTTCAGAAAAATCCTACAATGTTCGCCGTCTTCCGCCAATCAGCCAAACTCAACGAAATGGGTTCAAGGGTGTAAACTTGTCAGTCTCAGATTCGATGGCCGAGTATCCTTTCGGTTAAGACAGTGTCTAAAACGTTCCCGATTATATGCAAGCGCTTGACTTCGGTAGAAGATAACCCGAATTTGGTACAGAGTCCTAATGACTGATATTTTCGTCTCCATCTAGCATATCTTCGACAGCCGTCGCCGTGCTGCTACACCCCAAGCTGTTAGAAGGCGAAGCAGCTTCTGACCGTTTCAGCCCTCTCCCCTCCCCCAACAACCAACGCGGGGTTTGGTAACCTGGGCGACGACGGCGCGTCAATGCTATGGGTGGCAGGTGGCTAAGTCCATAGAAGACAATTTCATGGAAGACATCCTCATAGTCCTCAACTCATATCGTTTCTCAGAGGAACTTCGAATCGGCAACGGAGGAGCTGTAATTCGACTAACAGTAACACATCAGTAAAAATTTTTTCAGCTTGATTGGTACGATTTTATAAGGACTCGGTGGACACCCGGTAATTATAGTCATATTTGTTTAGATTCGACGAACAAATACAAAAAACAAACCATTCTATGGAAGAACAAGGTGGAGGCAGGTTTGCATTCAGAGAGGAATACTTCCTTTGAAGATGAGGTGACCGGTACAATAACTGCAATGAGGCAAGATTAGATGCTGTAGAGGGTGTCCACAAATATAAGGGTTAGCTGCAACATATGCAGAGCACGTGAAGACCAAGTAGTCACAGGTAATGTGACGACAAAGTGGAAAAAGATCACACTAGTGGCTACGGGACTCCGGGAAAAGTTGGCTGTGGAAAACAACGCAGGACCAGTGACATGGTGTGTACATGCTGTTATCAAATACGCATTCTGCCAACCCCACTGAGCAGCAGTCGATTTCAAACCCGATTAACAAATCCGGAGTGACGTCAGACAGGTAGTCGGCCGCGAAAACCCATGCCAA